GCAGGCGCCAAACCGCTGCGCCACCCAGGGATCCCGAGCTGTGCTACCTTAATCAAGGTGCCACTAACTGCATGCAGCTATTGAACATTTGAATTATGACTGGTCTGAATTGAGATGTGTTTGGTTTTTTTTTTTTTAAGATTTTATTTATTTATTTGACAGAGAGAGAGAGAGAGCACAAGCAGGGGGAGTAATAGGGAGAGGGAGCTTAGCAGAGAGCCTGACACGGGGCTTGATCCCAGGACCCTGGGATCATGACCTGAGCCAAAGGCAGATGCTTAATCAACTGATCACCCAGGCCAAGGGATGTGTTTAATGTACATGAGGGATTTTGAAATCTCAGTGTGGAAAAAAGAATGTAGATTATCTCAATAATTTAAAAATATTTATTACATGTTGAAATAACATTTGAGGTATATTGGGTTAAATAAAATTAACTTTATCTCCTTTCACTTTTTAAAAACATGGTTACTAGAAAATCTGAAATTATACATATGGCTTGCATTATATTTCTATTGGGTAGTGCTTCTCTAGGGACTCAAAGAAAGGGAGGTTTAGCAAGTGAAGTTGTCCAAATCTTGGACAGGCTGAGCTGGGAAGAAACTGCGCTTGCTATGATGGCAGAATTCTTTATGGGATCAAGAGGCAGCAAGGTGAGTCGTATGTGACACTGTTTTAAAAGGCACGAGGTTCTATAGTTGGCTCTGTGTGTCTCTGGCCAAGAAGATTTATGGCTGACAAAAGTGGCTTGTAAATCAGTCATCTGCACAAATGACATCATTGCCCTTCTGCTTCCAAGTTGGGATTTAGTAATTTTGCAGAATTCATATTTATTCTTTCTTGCTGTCATATTCTTACGGAGAAAGAGGCCAGTTGAGGGAAGAGAAGAAGAGAAGGGAGAGAAGGGTGGGAGGATTACTGGAGGATTAAAAGGAGCTGGGAAAAAGGACACAAGGATACTCTAGGAAGAAGATCTCGTTGGTTAAGACAGAAAGTTCCAAAAAGTCATCTAGTGAAGTAATTTCTCTCTTTTTCTCAGTCTCTTTCTTTCTGGGGATTTGTGACTTTTGATGTTTATAATTGTTCCTGGGAAACCAGAAGCAGTAACCTTTGTTTTGCAGATTAGGAAATGAGGGAAAAAAATTGATGAGGGATTTCCAGAGATAAATAGGAGGTGTGGACAAGGGAGGAGGAGCATTTACCCCTAAAGGTAAATCCCTAAGTGTTGGCAGGGAAGTCCCAGCTTGGGTAAATGCATGCTATCATCAGGGCTCAACCCTGGGGCCTTCCCATTTCAAAGACTCAGTTGGGAGATAATGGCTCTGTTCATGTGTCTGATCTGATTTTCAGGAAGTCCACTTGCTTGGCAGTATGGCGACTGCCTCAATTAGTATTTCTGGGGCAAGGCTTTGGCATTGTCACAAGCCTCCCAGCTCTGTTTGGGTGTAATAAACGCTTTACTCCAAAGGCACCTGTCACCAGCAAACTAAAGTGAGAACACACCTATTAAAAATGTTCTTTTTGAGTCCTGCTTTTGCTTATAAACCTTCAATGGCTCCCCATTGCCCACTGAATAAAAACCCAACTCCTGAGCCTCCCTCTAGTACCTCCCACAATCAGGACCCAGATTATCTGTCTGGACTGATTTCTCCCCACCCTCGCTGATAGTCCCTGGGCTCCAGCCAAACCATGTGTCTGCTAAATTCTCTGCATTTCCCCACACTCTTGCATTGACTTACTGTGGTTTAGTATCTTTAAGTCCTATCCATAGTTGTTACATAGTAACATTTTCCTTCTCCATGAGCAGCCATCCATGGCCACCACAGCACTTTGAGTCTTTTTTGGCCCTTGTAGACTATTATTTGTGCATATGTGCACCTGCTAGATTCTGAAGTAATAGGGACTGAGGAGAGACTGTCCGTATTAGTCAGCCCGGACTGTCATATAAAAGTACCATAGACGGTGGCACAACAACAGAAATTTATTTTCTCACAATTTTAGAGCTGAAAGTCCAAGTTTGGGGTGCCAACATGGTGGGCTTCTGGTGAGGGCTCTCTCAGTTTACAGACAGCCACTGTGTGCTCATATAGCAGAGAGAGAGAGAGAGAGATAGTTTTGGTGTCTCTTCCTCTTTTTTTAAGGACACCAATCCTGTTGGATTAGGACCCCACCATTAGGGGATCCCTGGGTGGCGCAGCGGTTTGGCGCCTGCCTTTGGCCCAGGGCGCGATCCTGGAGACCCGGGATCGAATCCCACGTTGGGCTCCCGGTGCATGGAGCCTGCTTCTCCCTCTGCCTGTGTCTCTGCCTCTCTCTCTCTCTTTCTCTCTCTCTCTCTCTCTCTCTCTCTCTCTCTCTCTCACTGTGTGCCTATCATAAATAAATAAATAAAAAAATTAAAAAAAAAAAGGACCCCACCATTATGACCTCATTTAGCCTTAATTACTTCCTGAAAGTGCTATCTATATTGGTGGGTTAGAGCTTCGATATATGAATTTTAGAGGGGCACAATTAAGTCCAGAGACTGCCTGATATTTAAATCCCTTCCAGCTTTAGCCCAGTATCCTATGGAGAGAGGGTACTTAGTAAATACATGTACATTGAAAGAAATTGAATTCTAGAGCTTCTCAGTAGTCATTTTTATAAGCTATGCTGTGCCAGCCTGTGGGACTACTGGAGTCTCACAGCTACTGGGAGGGCAAGAGAGAGTTAACAGGCTTTTGTGGGAATGGGACTGAGGGGATTGTCTCAACTACAACTATTAAGGATAAACTCATGAACATAGTATGGTAAGAATGTTGTGAGGCTGCTGTACATTCATAAGAGAAACTCCATCTAGTTTTTATGCTAAGAAAACAGTAATTCTTCTGAGCATTTGGATTTGTTTTAAAATATATAACTATAAATATATATATAAATATGTATTTATATATATATTTATAAAATTGTGTAACTGACTAGCTGATCTATTTTTTTTTTTTTTGCATTGGCCAAATGAGAGGCCCACCTATAATGACATTGCAGTTGGCACTTTTAGCCTCATTCAGGCTATCTTCATGTCTCCACTCATATATATATATATTTTTTTCTAAGTAGGCTTCACACTCAGTTTGGAGCCCAACATGGGACTTGAACTCACAACCCTGAGATCAAGACCTGAGCTGAAATCAAGAGTCAGATGCTTAACCAACTGAGCCAGCCTGGCACTCCTCTACTCATATTTTTTTATCTTTTCCCCCCTGCTTATAATTTATGCAGTCATTGTATTTTAGATACCTTTTAAATTTTCAAAACTCCAAAAACCTTTTCAGAAACATTGTAGGGCTTAAATGCATTTTAAAAATAAATAAATAAATATTAAATTAAATTAAATTAAATTAAATTAAATTGCTCATACATTTCCTGAGAAGAATCAACCGTTCAAATATTGAAGTCCAGGAAGCATGATAAATTCACATATGAGCTTGGCAGGGGGTGAAAAAAAATCTCTGTATTTCTTTTTTTTTTTATTGGTTACATGCTTTATTTTTATTTTTTAATTTAAATTCAATTTGATTGGCAGCCCTGGTGGCGCAGCGGTTTAGCGCTGCCTGCAGCCTGGGGTGGGATCCTGGAGACCTGGGATCAAGTCCCACATCGGGCTTCCTGCATGGAGTCTGCTTCTCCCTTTGCCTGTGTCTCTGCCTCTTTCTTGCTCTCTCTGAATGAATAAATAAATAAATCTTTAAAAAAAACAATTTGATTAACATATAGTACATTATTAGTTTCAGAAGTAGAATTTAGTGATTTATCAGTTGCATATAACACCCAGTGTTTATTCCATCAAGTGCCCTCCTTCATGAGCATCCCACAGTTACCCCATCCCCCTACCAACCTCCCCTCCAGCCACCCTCAGTTTGTTTCCTATAAGAGTCTCTTATAGTATGTTTCCCTCTTTTTTCATCTTATTTTTCCTTCCCTTCCCCTGTGTTCATCTTTGTTTCTTAAATTCCATATATGAGTGATATATGATATTTGTCTTTCTCTGACTAACTTGTTTCTCTTAGCATAATACCCTGTAGTTCCATCCACGTCACTGCAAATAGCAAGATTTCATTTTTGATGGCTCAGTAATATTCCATTGTGTATAGATACCACATCTTTATTTCTACTTATCTATTAGTTATTGATATAATCCTTACAACAAACTTTTAAACACCTATTAAAATTCCTATTACAGATAAGAAAACTGAAGCTCGTGGAGATTAACATTCTAAGTTCTGAGTTGGTAGAGTTGGTGTTCAAATCTTAGTCTATCTCATGTCAAAACAACATCTTTTCCATCTTGTTCCCCTGCTTCCTGGATAGAGGCTAAATATCTTAAAGCCTAGTCCTGGAGAGGAAAAGGCATAGACCAGAGTCATGGCCCTAGGGAGTTCTGTCCGGAGATAAGGCAATTTGAGGCTCCCAGCTACAACTAGGAGCTGATAGACAGAGGTCCAGCCTCTGGAGTGAGAGACACTGGCAGGATCTCTTTGTGTTATTGGAGGGCATTTGAGTGGCCAGGCCAGAGGAAAGCTGGAATGAGGACTGGGAATGAAGTCAGAAATCCTGTTTTTGGGTACTAGTAGTTGAGAAAGTACAAGGAAGGCCTGGGCAGGGGAGAGGCCCCATAATGCTCCCAGATGAATCTCCAGCACTTGAAGCCATTAAAGTAGTTCTTTCGGCCAGTAAAGTAATTCTAGATCCCACTAGCTTTGCCAGAAGGACTCCTGCTGTCCCTTCAGACCTGGGACTGCTTTAGGGACCACAGTTGGGCACAGCAATGCAGGACAGTTCAGTTCAGTATCGATTAAATGTTTAGTGTCTGGTGGGTGCTGGAGGAACAGAGAGCAATCATCCCAGGATCCTAATCTTAGGAACCTCGCTGTTCCATGGTGGCAGATGGATGTGAAGGGGGTCTGTTTAGACCCAAAACTAAGAGTCATGGTAGGACTCATATTCACACCTTTCTCTTCCAGGGCCATGTTCTGCAATGATTTGAAGGAAAAGTACGAGAAGAGGATCATCATCAAAGGGGTTGATGCTGAGACCATGCACACTCTTCTGGACTACACATACACCAGCAAGGCGCTGATCACCAAGCAGAATGTGCAACGGGTCCTGGAAGCTGCTAACCTCTTCCAGGTGTGTGAACAAACAATCTCGATGCTCTCCTCTGGAGCAGGGGAAAGCAGCAACTCCTCAGAAATCTGCCTGGACTGGCTTCCAAGCTTGTATCTGGCGCATGCGCGTGCACACACACACACACACACACTCTCTCTCTCTTAATTGGGCCTCTACTTACTTGAAAGTCAGAAAAGGCTCATTTGGAAATTTCTTGAGAGATGATGAAATGTGGCATTGACTCTTTAATACCATCAAGCCAGGGCAGCTTGGTGCCTAGAATCTGTACTTAGTTCTGGACTGCAATAACTACAATTTGCAGAAGCCTAATTAGAGCCAGGGTTCCAATCATCATTTTTGTATGTGTAACTTTAAAAAAAAAAAAAGATCTTATTTATTTATTTGAGAGAAAGAGAAAGAGAGCTTGAGCAGGGGGAAGAGCAGAGGGAGAGGTAGAGAATCTCCAGCAGACTCTACACTGAGCCCAGAGCCTCGGGGGGGGGGGGCTCCATCTCATGACCCTGAGAGCACAACCCCAGCTGAAACCAAGAGCCGGATGCTCAACCAACTGAGCCACCCAGGCACCTCTCTTATATGTAACTTCTAATCTTTAGTACAACCTGGGGACATAGTTACTTCTCCCCACTTAACAGGTGGGAAGAATCAGGCACAGAGAAGGGTGTATTTGAACCCTGGGCTTTCTGAGTCCAGGAGGTACATTCTTGCAGTTACCATGCAGCCTCTCTGGGAGCAGTGTCTAGATTTGGAGGCCCACAAGACCTTGCCTGATTAGGACTTTGTGGTGAGTATGAAAGAAGAGCATTTTCATGAGTAGTAATAGGGAAGATGAAAGAGAGAACCCTGGGGACTAAGTTTTATTGTTTCCATTTGACTATGTTTGTTTCAATCTGATTACAGTTAGCTTCATAGAATAATTAGACCCATCGATTCTGTCAGTTACATCCATAGTTATTGTAGGGTCCCAGCCCTGGTTACCATCTTTGCCTAGGCCTAAAAGTATGCCTTGAGTTTGTTTTGCCAGGTTAAGCAAAGATTGTCTCCCTGAGGATATTGAGATTTATGACAGAGTCCAGGGACAAGCCCGGTCATTCCCACAAACTGGCAAACATCAGATCCTGTGTGTGCTTTGGGACTTTGAGAGATGGTGTCCTTTTGATTTTTTTTTTAATTTTTTTTTTATTTATTTATGATAGTCACAGAGAGAGAGAGAGAGAGAGAGAGGCAGAGACACAGGCAGAGGGAGAAGCAGGCTCCATGCACCGGGAGCCCGACGTGGGATTCGATCCCAGGTCTCCAGGATCGCGCCCTGGGCCAAAGGCAGGCGCCAAACCGCTGCGCCACCCAGGGATCCCAGATGGTGTCCTTTTGGATCCTCAGTAGGCCAGCAGTCGAGGGGAAACAAAACAAAGTCTGGGAAGGTGAGGAATGAGGGGCTATGAGTCAAGACCAGGGGTAATGGGATGTTGAAGCCTAGGCAAGACCTGTGGAGTCCAGCAAGGAAGGGAGAATACAAAGAGGGAGGAAACTATGAAACAACACTGAGTTCCGAATAATTGTTTGCCAGTTTTATTGTCCCGGGTTCCTCGGGGCATTTTAAAGATACAGAGCAAGGTACTTCTGTTAGGGCAGGTCATGCCTTCTGGTAAACCCCCCCCCCCCCCCCGCATCTCCCACAGCCCTCCCCCCTTCTCTGTCCTGACCTGCTTACCCTTTCAGCCTTACTAACTGGCAGGGAAATAAATACTCCTCTTGCTGTGGAGGGAAGGACTCAGCAACCGCACACTCGGCAGCCCTATCTCATCCAACCTGCCACCCCCACACTCTGCTCCAACAGTCTGACCTCAGGGAAATCTTTCCCACATTAGATAGGGCCTCTATCTAGTTCAGCTTTTGCCTGGGAGCTATAAGACAGCTGCAAGGATTCTATACTGGGGGTGTGGGTGTATGTGCAAATCTTTACTTAGCCTCCTTATTTTCATTATGATGTCCTCACACGTCTTCCTCAATTTCTGGTGTCCCTGAGTCCATAACCTCTCTGGTCTGGTTTCTCCAGAGGATAAATCTTTTCCGAGAGTAGAGTTGTTAGATCACAAGAAGTGGGGAGGAGTCCCAGGAGGCTTAAGTTCTTAAACCCATCCCTGTTATTAAACCCATCTGCCCTGGCCTAGCTCTTTCCCTGGGACTTTAATATTCCTGCTTTCTGGGGTTTTGAGGGACAAACTCCTGTGTAGGTACTTGGTCTGATCTCTTTGCTCTCAACAAAGCCACTTGCCAGTTTTTATATTCTGTGGTTTGGGGTTACTGATAACTCCTGGTTTCATGGAGGAGGGAGTTTGTGTTTCTGTTTCTTGTTCTCCTTTCAGTTTTGGGTGATTTTTATAAAAACTCTTTAGATAGTAAAGAGTTTTATAATGCAGCAAATATTTTCCTTTGGCTATTTGACTGTTAATTTTTGGTTATGGCTATTTTTATGTACAAAATCTAAAATTTGTGTTTAGTCAGACCTACTGATCATTTCCTTATGTTTTTTGCCTTTGTTATATGTTTTCTTTTTAAATATTTTATTTATTTATTCATGATAGACATAGAGAGAGAGAGGCAGAGACACAGGCAGAGGGAGAAGCAGGCTCCATGCCGGGAGCCAGACACGGGACTTGATCCTGGGACTCTAGGCTCTAGGATCACGCCCTGGGCCAAAGGCAGGCACTGAACTGCTGAGCCACCCAGGGATCCCCACCTTTGTTATATGTTTTTAGAAAGCCCTTCCCCACTACTTATATACTTACCAACTTATAATTTCTTTTAGTCTTACTATCTCCATAGCTTTATACTTAAATCTTTCATGAATCTGGAAATTATTTTGGCATAAAGTCTCTCCTTGTCCTTGTCCTCCTCCTCCACTTCCTCCTTCTCATTTTCTCTCAAGTGGTGAGCCTCAAAAGAGATTTGGATTTTAATCAGAGGTGGAATGAAGAGGAAGACAGAGACAGAAGAGACATAGAGCATGCTTTGTTTATTATTGATTCCCCTATTCTGGTAATCCCTCACCTCAGAATTTTTCCAAATCTCGTTCACTTTGTAGGCAAAAAATACGAAGTTTTCTCTCTGAGGCTATTTTACTCATTTTCCAATGAGTGTTAATTCTTATGAAAACAAGAGTAGAGTGCTCTGGGTGCCTGGGTATCTGTTTAACCACTTTCTGGGGGACGTGTGGGTGGCTCAGCAGAAGAGCGTCTGCCTTTGGCCTGGGGCGTGATCCCGGGATCTGGCATGGAATCCCGCATTGGGCTCTGCCTGTGTGTGTGTGTGTTGTGTGTGTGCGCGCGCATGTGTGTGTGTGTGTGTCTCATGAATAAATAAATAAAATCTTTAAAAAAAAACCACTTTCTGATTTCTGTTGCTTCTGAATGACTTGCTTTGATGTCTCAGATGTAGAAAACTGGGAATATCTTCATGCTTGAAAGCACCACAAGGGACAGAAGTTTATAGGTTGTTGAAATCACTTTGTGGTTTTAAAAAAGTATGTATTCATTTGAATGGATAGAACATACTTTTGTTCCAAATTCAGAAAAACAAAAAATGAGACAGTGGAACATTTTGCCATGTTCACTTTTAACCTTGTGTTACTGTCCTTCATATCTTATGCACACCCGTGTCTATGTGCATATATCACTCCCACTCATTGTTTCTGGTTTTTAAACACGAATGTTGGCACACTCTGTACCCTATTTTACATGTTGCTTTTTTGCTTCACAATATATTTTGGAGATTGTTACAGATCAGAATGTGTAGAGCCTTTTCTTTTTTAAAAAAAATACTTTATTTGAGAGAGAGAGAGAGAGAGAGAGAGAGAGAGAGCACGCACGTGCTTGAGCACAAGTCAAGCACAGAGAGAGGGAGAGGAAAAGATTCCCAAGCAGACTCTCTGCTGAGCACAGAACCCAACCTGGGGCTTGATCTCATGACCCTGGGACCCCAACCCAAGCCAAAACCAAATAGGACGCTTAACCAACAGAGCCACCCAGGTGCCCCTGCGTAGAGCCTTCTTGATGGCTGCATAATGTTGTTGGACTCTCCTGAGGAGTGAAACATGTCAAGATCTTCATAGTCTTTTATAAGGCAGAGTGATAGAGTGGAAAGAGTATGGGTGCTGGAGTCAGGCATAACCTGGGTTTAAATTCCAGTTCAGTCATTTCTTTGCTCTGTGGATATGGACAAGTTACTGAGGTTGTCTGAGCCTCATCTTTCTTATTTGTAAAATTAGGATGATAACAATACCTGCCTTTTAGGGAGACTTATTATGAGGATTTAATGAGATGCTATTTGTAAAATACCTGGCACATAATAGATGCTGGTTGGAATTTCCTTCCCATCATTTGTCCATTAATTTTAACTTTACTTTGGACAATTTGTGCCTTGAATAAACTGGGCTGGCATTGAGCTGTGAGAACATTCTCCTGTGCCATCCCCCATTCTTTGCTTTTTCCTGGATTAGTATTATAAGAGACCATGATTTAAAGTTTTGTTTTATGATGTTCATATGATACTTGGTTAGTAGAATGGACTGGACTAGTGCTGTATTTGATTAACTCAAAATTATAGATGGAGAAAAGTGTGCCAGAGTTGGCATTTGTTATTTAGAACATCCACAGAAGCCAATACCACCTCTGTGGGACTGAAATCAATGGGAATCAGAGTATCTTGATGTTCTCTATCCCATCCAATAGTAAAAGTTTTTAGTTGTCACACCATCATTATGCCTGAGCTGCTTCCTCACTTTTTACTTCTCTTTTCAGGTCTATTATCCACTGATTGCTTCTATACCAGAATTTCCCAGAAAGAGATCTTTCAGTTGACCCAGCTAGTCACCACTATTGCTGTTTGAAAGAGCTTTTCATGAGAGGCAACTTGATGAGTTCCTGGCCTCATGAAAATGATAACCCTGGGGTCAGTTGTCATTGGTGCAATCACCTATAGCACAGAGTGGGACAGTTTCTTTT